AAAAGAGGGGAAACAATTACATGGGGTGGGTTAATTATAAATGTTAATTAGTCCACGATCGATTTGGCGAGAGTGAATCGAGTGTGAGGCCTGTCTCGAATAATAGACACCGAAATAGAACGACGAATGTACTGAAGAGACAACATACGTGCGCTTAGTTCCCGCGAGGTCTCTGATTGATAAAGGCGTAGGATACCAAAGTGGTCGGTGATACTTTAAAAATCTTTGTGTATTCTTTGCAACCTTTCTTTCTTTTTTTCCTGATTATTTCAATTTGGAACTTGTGTCGAATAAAAACGACGAATAGAGACATAGGTACTTTAATCGAGTGGGTCATGCAATCTTTACCTTAACGAGTATTGTTCACTCGAAAGACAATCGCGAAACACTTGAAGCAATTACTGACTTAAATTTGCTAGTTAAAAAAAAGTTAAATTGTAAAGAATCTTTGAATGCAATGGTATTATTAAACTCTTGAAGCTTTGTAAAGTGTTGATTTCTTATTTTATTGTTTTCTATATTTATTAATATTATTTAATAATTTTCAGAACCGAGAAGGAAGAAGATATACCACCGATTCCAACGTCGGAACCACCGGAATCACCAACGGACTCTCAACTCAGTAATCACCAAATTATTAAGGCACGTCCGTTGACGTTGAAGAAGGCACCAATTTCGGAACAACCCAAGTTGCGATATGCTAAATCGAATGTTCACGTGTCGATAAATCGACGCATTGAAATGCCCCCGGCTTTTCTTTTCCCGGAAACTGAAATACCAGCGGACCTCATGCAACCTGAACAGCAACAACAACAACAACAGCAGCAACAACAACAACAACAGCAACAACAACAGCAACAGCAACAACAGCAACAACAACAGCAGCAGCAACAGCAGCAACAACAACAACAACAATCTCAGCAAATAATCGACACGGCGGACAGTAATTGTAAGAAAAATAATACGATTATCGGCGAGGATGTAATTGGAAACGAAAAATTAGAAGAATCGGATATCATCGATGCTTTGAATATAATCAACATCGAGGATAAACCCAAATTAAAAAGCGACACGGAACGTAGATTAGAATTAGATATAGATGGTAAGACGTCCGAAGTGATGAGAAGAAAAAAAGGTAATCTGAAGTCCAGTACGGGGAAAGCTAATCTATCGAGAAGAGTTTCCTTCGACCCACTTGCACTTCTTTTGGACGCCAGCCTAGAAGGTGAGCTCGAACTAGTGAAGAAAACCGCCAAAGAGGTTGCCAATCCAAGCTCGGCCAATGACGAGGGTATAACCGCCCTTCACAACGCCATATGTGCTGGTCATCTTGAAATCGTGAAATTTCTTGTTGAATTTGGCTGCGATGTTAATGCTCAAGATAGCGATGGATGGTAATATCAATATTTTTCCTATATTTTCTACTTCTTTCTCCTATATTTACATATATTTGCATATAAAATTTGCATTACTCTTATGTACTATATATAATACTTGTTCAATTTTATAGGACACCGCTTCACTGTGCCGCAAGTTGCAACAATCTCTCTATGGTGAGATTTTTGGTAGAACACGGTGCTTGCATTTTTGCAACGACACTTTCCGATCACGAAACAGCCGCGGAAAAATGTGAAGAAGACGAAGAGGGCTTTGACGGATGCTCGGAATATTTATACAGTTAGTATTGTTACTATTATTATTATTATTATTATTATTATTATTATGATTATATATTCGCCATCGTGTGTCATGATTTAATTAGCAAATTAATTAGTAAATTAATTGTCAAACTCTCGTTACAGGTGTACAAGAGAAATTAGGAATTATGAATAATGGTCAAGTGTATGCGGTTTTTGACTATGAGGCGCAACATAGTGACGAACTTTCTTTAAAAAATGGTGACTCTTTGGTCGTGCTTCGTAAAGGTGACGATAACGAAAGAGAATGGTGGTGGAGCAAACTTGGACACAAAGAGGGCTATGTACCTCGAAACTTACTGGGTGTAAGTTACACTTATAAAAATATTATTATATATTTTCAACTTAAAAGCTTTAGAATTATTCTTCTTTACTTTATATGTGATTAATCTCTTAAATATTATTTTCATGTTTCAGTTGTATCCTAGAGTACAACCAACAAAAACGGACTGAGGCACCTGATGCCACATCATTCGTAATATCCGCTAATAATTAATTATTCATTATCACAGTATTCGATCAGCAGCTTTATCTTATTAAGTATCGTAGTCCATTGTCACACATTACCAATGTTGTCTTATTTAATAATTATGTGTTATCTCGCCGAAAGGAAACGAATACAAAATTCTGTATAATTTTTTTAGATTTTTTAAGAGAAAATACAGAGCGCGTGTAGAAGACAAAACGCCCAAGCCCATACGTGTTGTGTGCTGGGATTAACATATAAGTTATTTTTATTGACAAATCTTTCTCTCTTTCTCTCTCTCTCTCTCTCTCTCTCTCTCTCTCTCTCTCTCTCTCTCTCTCTCTCTCTCTCTTTTAACTTTTACACGTGGAAGTATAAAATGTTTATGTTTATGTTATATAAAGATAT